CACCTCAAAACCCTTCTCAGCTACTGCACAGGACAAGGAGAAAAGCCGAAGCCTACTTGCTTCCCGCCTGGGTGAACGACTCAGAACAGTCGTGCACACACCCCAGCAACACGGTGACATGGAGCAGCGGGCACAGCCTGCTTTTGTGGAGCTACCTGTGACTGGGGAGAGAAGGCAAATGTCCGTGAAGAGACTGCCTGGTGGGGGCAGCCGTGCGAGCTCAGCGCGGGAGGAGGCCAGCACTGGCTGGCTGGAATCATCACAAGCTGGCTGCCAGCAGCAGTCCCAGGAACTGACGCTACGTGGGAAGCAACAGCAGCAACGGCAGAAACCAGGAGTCGCCCGTGCCTACTCTGTGCCAGTGCCCACTCTCCTGCACCAACCTGTGTTGACGTCTTCTGATACAGGTGTTACCAGGTTCTAAATGTGGTTACGTGCACAAGGGTACATAAAAAAGCTTGGGGAAATGGAAATAACAGATGTCTGGTGCAAAAAAAAACCTTGAAATTCTATATACAATTGATCTTCAAAGTTTCATGGAAGGGGCCAGCACTGTGGTAGCCACCACTTGCAATGCCAGCACCCCATATGAGTGCTGGTTTAAATCCTGGCTGCTCCACTTCCAGTCCAGCTCCCTGCTGATGTGCCTAGCAAAGCAGTGCAAGACGGCCCAAGTGCCTGGGCCCCTGCACACACGTGGGAGACCAAAGTGGAGTTACAGTCTCTTAGCTTTGGCCTGGCCCAGCTGCATCTATTGTGGCCACTTGGGGAACGAACCAGCAGCAGATCTGTCTGTCCCTCTCTCTTTCTGCAACTCTTTCAAATAAATAGTATTTTTCAGAAAAATTCACAATGTGCATACTATGGAAAAAGTGTACATGAATGTCAAAGTTTTTGGAACCAATATAAACATCTTTTGACTATTTTCCACAAAGTGTGAAGATCAGATCAGAGGCTACTTCAAGAAGTTTGTGGAAAATGGATAATCCCGTGAGAAGGGACGTTATTCTGCTATATTCATGCTAATATCACCAACAATAAGTAAATAGGTAATGCTGCTTTACTCGCTTTACAGATTTAAGTGAAGGCGCAGAGACATCAGGAGATGTGCCTGAGGCCACACAGCAAGGGAGAGCCGTGGTCAGGGCCGGGTGGTGGGCTCGAGCCCTGGGAGCATAGGCTGCATGTGATATCCTTTCATAAAACATGGCCCTGAAAGACTGGAGGATGGACTGGAAGCAGGAGAGATGGAGGCACAGATGATGCGGTGGGCCAGAGCAGAGGGTGGTCTTGTCGTATCTGTGGGCCCAGAGCAGACCTGCCTTACACTGGCCCCTGTATGTGTACTTCTTCAGAACATGCTAGAACCACTAGCTCCAAGCCTACCAGTGAAAAACTGAAGCTCTGCATATCCACTGTTTCAAATGTAACCCAAATAAGCATATTTTAGCTACTTAGAGCCTGCCTGCTTTGCATACCACAAGAAAGTGCACCCAACACCTGCCACTCAGATAGGAAAAAAATCTTGGGTGGCTGTAATAGACCCCAAGCTGCGGCTGCCATCAGAGGTCTCTGGCCGAGACCTCCCTCCACACCATGGTACTGCTGATGACTGCACCTCAACACACAACCCCCTTCTCCAAGACCCCTGTCCTGCCTGGGTGGTGGCCACTCTCTGGAAGGTGCCGTGCTATGAAGGACTGCACCCCACAAACACAGCCTGCCCCTGTGTGGCCCAACCCACGATCACGGTTGCTGCATCCGTGATTCTGCTTTTGTTTGATCAGCCCTTAATCTTCCAGTCGCAACGCCCCATTCTGTGAAAAGCACAGTGTGGATGGAGAGAAGACACAGAGGTGTGGAAGGACGGGGAAATGAACTGGCTGTGGTGGGAGGGGAAACGGTGCTGCAAGAGCAAAAATAGGGAGCAAGGTTGGGCTGTCTCAGACGAGAGGCTGGGCCAGCAATAAGGCAGGGAAGGGCACCGCTGGGGGAAGGAGCACTGAGTTTTGGTCCACGTGCCCCTCCTCCAAGGGAACTACTCAGGAGGTCATGGGCTAGATGCTGAAGCTGGAGCTCTGGAGACATCTCTGGCTAGAGAGAGGCACTCGGGCATCACTGGAAGCAAGGTGGGGGTGAAAGACATGGGATGAATGACCCTGAGTCAAAGATGCAGAATGGGAGGAAGGAGAGCGGGGAGAGTGGCTGCTACATGCAGAAGGCTTGGCAGGGCCTCTGAGGGGACAGGGAGAAAGAGCAGGTGTGTGTTAGCAAGGCCAGTGGAGACCAGAGAGGCGTTTGAGGAGGAGGGAGCAGCCCTCACACCCAGTGCTGTGGGGAGAAGAGCAGGTGTGTGTTAGCAAGGCCAGTGGAGACCAGAGAGGCGTTTGAGGAGAAGGCAGCAGCCCTCACACCCAGTGCTGTAGGGAGAAGAGCAGGTGTGTGTTAGCAAGGCCAGTGGAGACCCAGAGAGGCGTTTGAGGAGGAGGGAGCAGCCCTCACATCCAGTGCTGTGGGGAGGGAAGGAAGCTACGGCCTGAGAGCAGCCCTTGCATTTGTCAACAGCGCTGGTGGCCTCAGCAGTCCGTCTCCAGGGCAATGCAGTGGCAGGAAGTGCAATGATGGTGACGGAGTGGGAGCAGGGCATGAGGAAGGCAGCGTGGAGAAGAGCGACTGTTCAGCAAGTGCAGCTGCGGGGCGAGTCGGATGGGACTCAGAGGCCCTCCCGTGGGTCCTGTCCCAAGCCTCCTCCTGATCGCACCAGCCTTCCCTGTGGGCGGAAGCGTCCTGCCTGGTCACTGCACTGCATGTTTCCTACAGAGGCTGGAGCCAAATCTTCAGCTCCACTCAAACCCCCTCATTTCCTAATTCCTGTCCCCACCCCAATCAAATGGCTGTAAACTGATGTTTGCCACACAGGTTGCCAGGACGACAGAGTGTCACAGTGTGCTCCATTTTGAGCTCATACTGTCTGAGTTGAAAACAGGTCAATGAGGAGGGCGGGAAGCCTTTTCAGCAGAGTCCGACACACTGAGATGGGGATTGCTGAGCCCAAGACCAGTCACTCAAGGTCAAGGTGCGAATAGTTCTGCTCCCCAGAAACAACGATCACGAATGGACTCCCGTGGAGTTCAACGGCATGGGAGCCTGGCCAGGTTCTGGACTCCTGATGGTGCTTTAACTTACTGCTGGCCATCTGATAGCTGTCTCCTCAATACCTATTTATCTTCTCTCCCTGGGGAGACAAATGAACATGTGACCCCGTCCAGGTCACTAAGGGAGACAGAGACTCTTGGATTTGTCCAGAGCCTCCCTTGTAGGGACTCTTCCTCTCCACACAAACAGTGTGGTGAGAGGACAGAGGCCAGGAACCGCCAGGAAATATTCTGTGTTGAGCTTGGAGCGCAGAGCTGCAGGGCCACAGGGTGGGATCAGGACCCTGGACAGCGACCCAGGGAGCCAGAGAGAGGCTCTGAGCTGTCAGTCAAGCTGCTGCTTCCAATATGAGATGCTCGTATACCCACAACTCACTCCATGAGGCACACAAAAGTAGAGCCCATGGCATTCCCTGTGATCCCACAACTTTCGTAGAAACAAATGAAACTTCCACAAAACAGTAAACCAGAAAGTTCCAATTGAAAAGTTGGAAACAAAAACAAAAAACCCAGAACATCCCTTTAGAGACTGACACACAAAGGGCCCAGGAGGCAGAACGCAGAGGCAAACCCTACTTCTCATCATAACGCGAGTCGGCTTCCGTCAGAGCAAACCCTACTTCTCATCATAAAAGTGAGTCGGCTTCCATCAGAGAACAGGAGCCCCACATCTCTCAAATTCTTCCCAAAAATGTCAGTAATTTTCAAATGCCACAATCCATGAATTGAAATAGTAATTCTCTGGATACTTGGTGGATAAATATATTGATGAACAGATTGATCTCTAATCACTGCTCCAATGCTGCCACTTCTTCCAGCGAGACCGAAACAAGGTGATCCGTACCCGAAACACATTCCCGGGGCGGCGGATGAAGCTTTCCACCCACACTGCTGCTGCCTGGGCTGAGAGCGCTGCTCACCCAGCCACACCGTCTGCCCCGCCTGGAGAAGAACTCAGAAGGCTCCTCGTCGATCAGGAGGCCATGCTGCCCTTGGCTTCTCGGTGGGTGTTTCACCTTGCCCACATGTTCCCAGGCCGTAGAAAAGCAAGCAACTGCCAGGAACAGCCTGAGCAATCATTTGCATTATGTATTCAGTCAGCAAAAGCTGCACCTATGGAGGTGGTGCCTCGGGCTACAGTGTCTTCCCTGGAAACCAGCTCCCTCAACAGAAATCCATCAGAGGGCTGTTTCACACTTCAGAGGCAGTAGCATCCACTCCCATGGGCTCAGGGCAGGGACTGGCCCACAGTAGTTTTCTTTGAACCCCATTGAAGTTGAGATATTTTTATCCAAAACTGAGAAATTCCACATCTCAACTTTCAGGCTGACAAGGACCCCAAGACCAGACTTTTGAGGGCTAGTCCCACTTGGTGAGGCTCTGAGGACACAACCTGGTCCCACTTGGCCCAGCCATGAGGATATAACCTAGTGCCATCTGGTGCAGCCATGATGGTATAACCTGGTCCCATTTGGTGAGCCAGGGGGACATACCCTGACTCATCACTAAAAGAAGCAAAACAGAATCCGACAAAACCCATCTCAAACTAATCTGCATCTAGCTTGTGAGCAATTGCACTTCCTAGAATGCATCCTACTGAGCTGCCTGCACACGGATAAGAACTGAGTCTGCACCGCACGTACACAGGCCAGCACCTCTCCGCTGTGCCCTTTCTTCTTCTTAATGTGAAAGAGTCACCACGTGCTGGTGCAAATGCTGCAATGTCTGGGGCTGGCCTGAGGCCAGGACCAGGAACTCAACCCAGCTCTCGGGGGACGGGGGGGGGGGGGGGGGGGGGCACAGAACAGCCACGTGAGCCCTGCCTGGCTGCCCCCCAGGACCCACATTGGCAGGAAGCTGGAGCTGGAGCTGGAAGCAGGAATCTGATCCAGGACAAAAGCATCTCAACCACCAGGCCACATGCCTGGGCCAGGCTCTCGTTCTTCATTTTTCCTGCTGAGAAAGGCAAAACAATGCAAATTTTGAATATCAGTGACACCTTTGGTGGGGCCTGGGGCCACTTCTGCACCCTAAAACATGAACAGCTCAAATTTAAAGGCAGAGGGGGAGTGACAATTGTGCTGCGTGAGCTCAGGGCAGCTTGTGCCGTCCAGGAGTCTGATGAAAGCTGACCAAAGCCCGTGGCCTGCCCAGCTTCGAGGATTTGGAATTGCATACTGCAGACTCCAGGTCTGTGATCAGCTCCGGTAACAAAGCTGTGCATGTCCTGAATCTCCGCAAGCCTGCGTGGGGGCCCCAGGGCAGGCTCAGGGTTTGTTTAAATGCATCTGCTTCCGTCTCCGTGGGCCAGAGGATGCTGATGTCCGCCCAGCTCCCACTCCTGGAGCCTTCATGGCCTTAAAGGAAGGACTGAAATGTGCATGGGCTCTTCCCAGAGCAAACACCGCACACCATTCCGAGCTGGGCTCACCCAGGCAGTCCCCACGGACCCCCCGAACATTCTTTGCAGCGCAACAGGCTGCTTCCACATGCTAATGGAAGCTGACTGCTTCCAAGCCTGCTGGCAAATCTTATTAGAGTAATCCCCTCCCTGAACCCAGATTATTACAGCCACCTTTATGGGAGAATAAAAATTAATTTTCTCAGCTATAATAAGAACGATAAGAATGAATCACTAGGGACCAAATAAAGATTACAATTAGCTCCAACAGAATCGATCTAAATTTAGCCAAGGCCAGCCATGTATTTGCTCCTGTCTTCCCTCCAGTGCCCTGAGAACCAGGCTGCGGGGGCCGGCCGCACTCACCAGCCAGCCCTGTTGACATCAGCACAGCGAGGGACTCCGGGAGCAAGGTGGGCTCAGTGCAGGGCTCAGAGTCAGCGTGCCCAGTCCCGAGTGAGCTGCCCGAGCCTGGCTCCTTGAGCGAGCCCTGGGCACTGGGTAGTGGCCGAGCTGGTTTTCCCCTGGGCCCTGCCTCCGGCCTCCCTCTGTACTCAGGCCCGTGATTCCACACTCATTTCCGAGAACAGATACTGACCCAGGCCTGAGCAGAGACCCAGCGCAGGCCACCCACACTGAGGCCTGAGACTTCTGTCTGGGATCTTTGACAAGAATTCTGTTCACTCTGGGCTTTACTCAGAAGCCATTTTACTCACCAAGTGGAGGTGGAGAATTAAGCCAATCGCCAGGGGAAAAGGAAGACAAGGAGAAATATTCAGTGCTGGTAACAGCAGATGAACCCTTGATCAAGCCACACCTGAAGCTGTATGTATCCTTCATCTTTCCAAAAACAAGCACCAAGATGCTCCACCTCCCATGTGAGAAATTCTGTCTCTTGAAATCAAAAACACCCAGAGCGACATCAGCCTTTCTCTGCCCATCATTAACCTGGGTCCTGTGGATAATAAAGGAGAGCCTGACTCTGTAAGAAGCCGGAAAACAGGACTTCACCTGCTAGGACACAACATCCCAGGTCTGCTTCTCAGGCAAAGGAGAGAGAAAGGCGGTAGAACAAGGAGCATGGCTGTGCCGCCCAGATCGTGTGGGCTCCCTCAGGGTTACCTGGACAAGCTGAACAACCCACAGGGCAGGCTTTGCTCCAGCAGGAGGAGCAGCTCCCAGCCTCAGCTTCTCCAAGCCGAGTCCCCAGCTGTGGCCACCTGGCTTTTCTGACCATGTCTACAAACCCAAGCTGCCCATCCCCAAGCATCAAGCAGCCCAAGAATGGCTCCCGCTCACAAGCCAGCAGTGCACACCTTGTGGACCCAGCGGCGCCTGGGGCCGGACAGACCCTGCAGGACAAGCAGGGACACACGAGGCCCCAGGAGGGCTGCGCCCCCGGCGTCTGGGGCACCGACTGCGGTGCTCGCTCTCCTTTGAACTGAGCGCCCGCCCACTCTGGTCCAGCGACTCCACCTGTAGAGAGAGGGCCCCAGCACTCCATCTGTAGGAGAGAGGGCAGTCGGCCCAACCGGAGGGGAACCGCAGGCTGTGCCTGTCTGGGCCAAGTGGGGAGGGTCAGGCTGGGGTCAGCATCCACAGCCAGCTCTGTGGTGAGCCTGAGGCCAGGGCCAGACTGTGGCCAAGAAGGGCAGCAGAAAAGAAGCCTTCCAGCCAGTGTGGCTCAAACCAACTGGCCCTCCTGGGCTTCAACTCCAATGGTGGCTTCACGGGCATGGAGCCCTCCCCTGAAGGCCCTGTCCTCCGACCGGTCCCTCTCGCTGGGCAGCTGGAACCTCTGCTACCGCCCTCAAGAGCATTCAGAGCCCCTGCGTGTTGCACGCTCACCACGCCCCAGCCCGGGCCCTGCTCGCTCAGTGCCCCATCTCCCCGGCCAGTGCTTGCACCCCGCCATCAGGTAGTCACAGAAGCGCATTCTCCCCACTTCATAGCCAAGGACACGGACACTCAGAGAGGGCGCGGCTCTACCCAAGGCCACCAGGATGGAAGCAGGACAAGAGCCACCTGTGTCCAGCTGATTCTCTTGGCAGGACACAGCTCTGCCCACCTGAACTGGGGCTCACCCTGATGACCTCTGGGAAAGGGTCAACACCAGCAAGGAAGTCCCAGGGCATCCACTCCAGGAACTTCCCAACCAGTTGACACAACACTGATCCAAACTGGAGAGCGTCAGTGCTAAGTGAACATGCACATGCCAATCACCCACCAGGAGAACCAGCTACTGCAGATGCAGTGCAAGCCCCCAGGGCCCCTCCCACCCCGCTCCTGGCAGTACCGGTCACCCCATCTCTCAGGGTTCACCTTGCCGTGTAGTCTACCTTAATGACAGTGCACACGGTGCGCTGATTCTGTGCCGTTTCGACGCCTACTTCTGCAACGATCCATGGTGTCCCTTCCAAGCTCTGTGCCTCACCTAACTGGCACTGCTCTCCATCCCTCTGCGACTCGCATGCTCACATAGCACAGCGTTGGTGGGAGCCACGCTGATTGATCCACGTCACCATGCCCCGCCCACACTGCTGATTGATCCACGTCACCATGCCCCGCCCACACTGCTGATTGATCCACGTCACCGTGCCCCGCCCACACTGCTGATTGATCCACGTCACCGTGCCCCGCCCACACTGCTGATTGATCCACGTCACCGTGCCCCGCCCACACTGCTGATTGATCCCCGTCACCGTGCCCCGCCCACACTGCTGATTGAGCCACATCACCGTGCCCCGCCCACACTGCTGATTGAGCCACATCACCGTGCCCCGCCCACTCTGCAGCTGTGCTTCCCACTGTCTGGAAATACCACATGGACCTCCTCTCCAGCTCCACAGCTAAGTGGCTTCCAAGCCTCCACCTGAGTTACAATGTTTGAAGACACAATCCTTGTGCCTGCCTCCTTGTTCACCCTCTCACTTCCGCTCAGCTAGGAGCTGCGGCTCCGGGCTGCTCAAGGGAATCTCCCTCACAGCGGCCAGGCCAACCTCAGCGATCACCGCCCACCCAGCAGCCTGAGCTCAGGACTCCAGGTACAGCAAGGACGCCGCCTTCATGAGTGGCAGAGCAAGGACCAAGCCAAAGCCCTGCTCCCAGCCCACGTACAGGCAAGGACAAGGGGCCGCAGAGACCACCCAGTTCACGTCGGGTTTCCCCTCTGGCAGACTCGGGCAGCCACACAAGCACGTGTATGGTGCCCGTGCACATCAGCCAACGGGCCTCCTTGTGTGTCATGGAGTCGTCTGCGTGAATTCAAACTGCAGTGAACAGTGCTCACACAGGGCCCACCCGTAAGCTGTGCTCACCCATTCTAGTTCCCCTGGCGACCCCGGGACCCCACCAGCTCTGCTGTAAGGAAACAGGCACAGGCGCTCGCGCACTTTCCTAGGGTCTAACAGCTAGAAGGGAAGGGCCACACTCTTCCTCCTACACCCCTGCCTCTCTGTGGCGTGGTTTCCAAGTGCCCTAGGGCTTCACCCTTGAAATGCTCTGGGAGCTGGGCTGGGCAGGGGCCACAGACTGAAGTCAGCTGAGAGCCTCAGAGGGGCCCAGTGGAGCCAGGGACTCAGGAAGCTCATGTGCCCTCGGCACGGGCCACAGGTGCCAGCTCCAGGGGCCCTAGGGCGCAGCCTGCCAAACTCAACAGATCTTTGAAGTCAGAAATACCGCTTCTTACGTGCGATCCCTTGGCCTTTCCTCCTTGACCGCAAATCTGAACTCTCTCAGGCAGATGCTGGACAGGCTGAGTGAAGATCCTGCCCTCGGACCTGCTGGGCCCGAGGCTGCCAGCGGCAGAGAGCGACTCGGGGCTGGAGCACTCCAGGTCAGCAGGCGGGGGTCTCATCGGGCTGACGATCCAGGAGGAGTGGACAAGGGAGGGACGTGCCCTGCTGAACGGTCCCCTGTGTCACATCAGGAGGTGAGAGGGCCATGGGCTCGGAGGGCTGGGAAAGAGGAGGTGAGCTTACTCGCCGCGGTTCTTGGAATGCCCTTCCCTGGGTCCTGAGCCTCCCACTGCAGGGAGGGAGGTGCAGGCAGGGATAGGCAGGACCATGCCCCTCCTTCTGCATGCCCCACACTTTCCCACTTTGCACACCCACCGAGGCCGACCATTCGTGCCCCTTCCACACTCGGGGAGTGCTGGCCAACAGCTAGACCCTGCCAACCCTGACTCCTCCCAGGCTCATGGACAGAGCCCAGCCCGTCCAGCAACGGCGCCATGCCCCAGGCCTGGCAGCCACACCAGGTGACAGAGGTGTAACAGGGGAGTTAGAGAACCTATCAAAGACCGGGGTCCCAGTTCCCTGAGGGACGCCCAGCTCTGGGGTCCCCTCTCCACGTCTGAGGGCCACAGAGCTCTGCTGTTGCTTTCTCCTGCTCACTTCGAGACCTGGACTCTTTCCTTACTTCCATACTGAAAGAAGCCAAGGTCCAGGTAAGGTTCTGCAGCCATTACACCACGGCTCCCACCTCATTGAGAGAAACAGCCCAAGTCGTCCTGGAGCAGACGTGCATTCCCTGGTCTGGCCCCAGCACCGTCACTGCTGTCCTCATCTCCCACTCCAGCCCCCATGCCGAACACAGCTGTATCCCCTGCCCCAGGGCCTTTGTACTTCCTACTCCCTCACCAGCAGGGAGCTACCCTGGCTCCTTTCCCTCCCATTACTCAGACCTCAGCTAAGACACAGCCTCTCAGAGGCTGGGTGAAAGGTATACAAACTCTGCTACTCTGAAGGCCTCCCATGGCCCGAGAGGCCAGCCTCGCGTGGGGTGATGCAGAGCGACGTGGGATCCCCGCAGCTGTCCCCATCCACCATCTCCCACAGGGCCCTGCATGGCACCTCCCCAAAAGCTGCAAACCACTGGCCTCCAGGCCTCGTCCCCATCCACAGTGGCCTGGGCCGCCGAGGAGGTCTGCACTGGGATATTTTACGAGGGGACTTCAGTGCCCAGTGAAGGACGAGATTATGTACAGAGAGAGGAGCTGCAGCCTACAAACACAAACCCAGGAAACGGAAATGCTAACAGCTCCATTTCATCGTTTGTGCACCATATACATATAGAAATACTGCATGGTGCATGAAAAAATACTAAGTATTACAGAATCCAAAAAATGGGCGGCGGGGAGAGAGACTGGCATTGTAGCACAGCAGGTCCACCTGCAACACCAACATTCCACATCTGAGCACAGTGCCAGCTACTCCACTTCCAATCCAGCTCCCTGTGAATGCCCCTGGGAAGGCAGCAGGTGACGGCCCAAGTATCTGGGCCCCTGCACCTACGTAGGAAACCAGGATGAAGTTGTAGGCTCGTAGCTCTGGCCTGGCTGAGCCCGTGCTCCAGTGGCCATCTGGGGAGTAAACGAGCAGATGAAAGCTCGCTCACTCACGCTCGCTCTGTTACTCTGCCTTTCAAACAAACACATCGGGGCAGGCACTGTGGCGCAGCAGGTAAGCCACTGCTTAGGAAACCCACAACCCGCATCAGAGTGCCTGGGATCTCTCGCTTCTGCTTCCTGCTAACGCACTTGGGAAACAGCAGATGATGGTCCTAGTGCCTGGGCCCCTGCCACTCTCGTGGGAGACCCAGATGGGGTTCCAGGGTCCTGACTGTGGCCTGGATCAGCCCTACTGTTTAGGCATTTGGAGAGTGAACCAGCAGATGGAGCACCTCTCTCTCTCTTAAAAATAAATTTTTAGGCCGGCGCCGCAGCTCAATAGGCTAATCCTCTGCCTTGCGGCGCCAGCACACCGGGTTCTAGTCCCGGTCAGGGTGCCGGATTCTGTCCCGGTTGCCCCTCTTCCAGGCCAGCCCTCTGCTATGGCCCGGGAGTGCAGTGGAGGATGGCCCAAGTCCTTGGGCCCTGCACCCGCATGGGAGACCAGGAGAATCACCTGGCTCCTGGCTTCGGATCAACACGATGCGCTGGCTGCAGCGCGCCGGCCACGGCGGCCATTGGAGGGTGAACCAATGGCAAAAAGGAAGACCTTTCTCTCTGTCTCTCTCTCTCTCAACTGTCCACTCTGCCTGTCAAAAATAAAAATAAATAAATTTTTAAAGATGAATTTTAAGGCTGGTGCTTCAGCTCACTTGGCTAATCCTCCACCTGCGGTGCCGGCACCCCAGGTTCTAGTCCCGGTTGGGGCACCAGATTCTGTCCCAGTTGCTCCTCTTCCAGTCCAACTCTCTGCTGTGGCCCGGGAAGGCAGTGGAAGATAGCCCAAGTGCTTGGGCCCTGCACCCGATGGGAGACCAGGAGGAAGCACCTGGCTCCTGGCTTCAGATCGGTGCAGTGCGCCAGCTGTGGCAGCCATTTAGGGGTAAACCAACGGAAAAAGGAAGACCTTTCTCTCTGTCTCTCTCTCTCTCACTGTCTAACTCTACCTGTCAAAATAAAAAAAGAATTTTAATATAAAAAGATGAAAATGAAAGAATACTTAGAGTCACTCCCACATGGTGACAGCTGGTCCACCTTCACTGAGGCATGGGGTCTCCAGCTTGCCCCAGTCCCAACAACCACCCCTAAAAACCAAGAGGCAAGTGACACAGAGCCTGGGGCCCAGTCCCTGCTCTGCCCCTGCTGGCTGTGTGACCGTGGGCAAGTCAATTCCTGGGCCTCCATTTCCTCGTCTGTACAGCACAGATGAAGGCCTCCGGGGCACGGAGGCTGCCGTGAGGATTCAGTGAGCGGAGACTCCATGGTTGGAGTACATCACGTGACTGACAAAGTGTCACGCTTTCTGTCGCTGTGCACCTCCCCCCACAGCGCACCCATCCCCCAGACCTGGGCTGGGCTGTTCTGCTAACTCCTCCCCTGCTCGCGTCCTGCACATTCTCCAGGATGCGGGAGAAGAGCAATCAGAGCAGGGCTCCCATCAGCCCCAATCCCAGAACCAGCCTGGGACGGCGCAGCAAGCACCACCCACTTCCCCTGCAGATCCGCGGAGGCAGTGGCGGGAACAGGGCCGCGTGGTGAGAAGCCGTCTCCCTGCTCACTGGGACTCTGACCTCTGAAAGAGCAGACACCTAGACGGTCATTAGCAACAGAGAAAAATCTCTCACCACACTGCTAACCCTCAGCCTGGGCTGAAAACCAGCAATGGCCTCTGCAACTTCACTAATTTAACTGGAAGGAAAGATCACTGTGCCTCCCTCGCCGGGTTCCCCACCTCTTGCTGCCCTCAGATTCAAGAACTTGCCGTTGCTTTGCAAACAGCCCTGTGAGCCTGGCTGGCCGGGGCTCCAGCAGGCAGACACGACTGAGCCCCTCAAGGGGCCGCGTGCAGGAAGCTCCCACCCGGTGCACAGCAAGGGGCCCACAGGGGAACCCACCACCACGTCTGGGGCCCACGGGGTCACTTTTCCCCTGCTCCTCACCCCATCAGAAGGCAGCTTCGACTTCCACGCCTGGGCTCCTGAGCAAGAAGGAAGGAAAGTGGCTGCCAGCTGCTGTCTGCAGTTGACACCAGATTTCAGCAAAACCACCAATTACCATACAGGAACCATCACTGCTGATTCTTGTCAAAATATCCAGGTCCCAAAAAGTGAGACCTCCTTAATGGTCTCAGACGCCC